CAGTTATTCCCTGTCTATATTTCTTATTATTTTTGTAAGTTATTTTTTTTTAGAATAAAACAAGTCAGTTTGGGATTAATTATGCACCGTTAGTAAGCTTATTTATTTTTTTGTTGCATAGAATAAATTTGTCTACTAAAGACAAATAACATAATATTATTGCTTGAGGGCCAATACACCTAACATTTAGAGCAATTCTAAATACAAACTAACAGCATTAGTCCACTTACGCTCAACTGCTTTAGGCACGATTCACGTAACCGGAAAGTGATTAAATAATGGCGGCGTCGTCCTGCGAAGTGCTGTAACTATGTGTTATACCTTATTTCTGTCTTCTAGTCATCGGTGTCGGGGCACTGCGGTGGTCGACACAAGTCTAGTGTACTCGTGCAAGGCGGTACTCTACTGTTGTGTGCCGTCGTTATTTTAATGATTTTGAGTATTTTTCGATTGCGTTAAATACATTTATAACTTATAGCCAAATTATTCAAATAGGTATAAGCAAAGAAATATGCATAAGATGTTTTATTTATTTTTTATTCGTTTAATTATTATTTTCTTTAATTTTAATTAAGTACCTAATACTATTTATGGATTTAAAATAAAATATTAATAATATTTTACAAAATTATATACAATATACCATCAAACCCAGCTTGTGTAAGTTTAATGAAGTCAGGTTTTTTGAGCATTATGAGATATTAAAAAACCCAGCACAGGGGGGTCGCGGCACAGTGGTGACGTGGCATAGTTGTATCAAGTATAATGATATCTGACAGTGATTAAAATCACTATCAAAAAAAAAACGCTTCGATGCAAATTTTTAGACAGTGTTTAATTTTAAAAAATTGGTGGATTATTCCAAAAGCTTCATAAACTGCTAGTTCCTTATTAATATCCTGATTAAGATAAAGTATGTCGAATGAAAAAGGGATTATTAAAAAATAGTATTTCCCATAAAAAAATTATATTGATCAATACACTTTTCAATAAATTATAGCATTATAAAGTTAAAAATGTAAAAAATAAAATTGAGAATTTTCACACAATAATAG